AATTCCTTTGATGGATTCCAATTCCATCAAATTCCATTATGTGAACCAAACACCCCCTTAGTGTCCTGAGATAGATGTGTTGCGCAATAGTTGTCTTCATGCGGTAGTTTGACTGAAATAGTTGATTTTGACTTTCAGTATTTGACTTTGACTTTCAAGGTTTTATATTTTTAAGATTGACTCTGACTTTTAAAAGTTTCGCATTTGTTTTTTCATTTGATTTGAATATTTCAAAGTATGCACAATTCATCTTTTAATCGAAGTTTTTGTCAACGATCATTTAGTCATGTAATAAGTGTTCATATTTTTAGCATATTCAAGAACTGATTTGGTGTATTTGATTTTTACAGGATTATTTCAAAATGAATAATATTGTTTTGGAGATAGAGAATCTGGAACTCAAAAAAAAGATTTCTTTTTGGAGAAAAGATTAGAAAAAGATCTTAATATGCTTTTAACTATTAATACTGAAAATCTTAGTTGGGCAAAAAGTTTAAAAGAAGAAAAAGAAAAATTTGTTGAAGAAAAATGAGTTTTTGCAAGCAAAGGGCCTTTAGCCTAGCGGTATGTGAGTCATTGGTCTCCTAAGAGGTCAAGGGTTCAAACTTCACCAAAAGCGAGTAGGGTGTGTGAGTTTACTTGTTCTATTTGTCATAAGGCCTAACGGTATGTGAGTCATTGGCCTCCTAAACGAGTCAAGGGTTCAAACCTTACCAAAAGTGAGAAGGGTGTGTGAGTTTACTTGTTTTATTTGTCATATATAAATATTATATACTTTAAAAAAATGAGTTTTTGCATGCACAATTAGATGAGCTTTATAAGAATACTAATATTTGGAGATATCGATGATTGAATGGAAGTCCTTGTGAGATTAACATCAAAAAACTCATATTCAAAGTGCATCTGTTACACAGAATATATATTTGTTGTATTCACAGGATAATCTTTGAATAAAATATTGAAAACAGTTTCATAAGTTGAATTAGGATTTCCCAAATTATGTTCTAAAATGAATCCATTCATTAAAGAATACATAAGTGAATTTTAAAAGATTTGCTTATACTTCTATGAATTGACGGCATGAACTTCATCTTGTTACATTCATTTGTCTTGTCGGTCTAATTGTTGGTATGATGTTCCTATTCCTAATTAACATCATAAGGGGGAAATGATATGGTTAAGGGGGAGAAGATGATGAGATTAAGAGAGAATATACAAGAAGGAAATATAAGAGAAAAGTGAAAAGTGCTTAAGGGAGATAATTCAAGAAGATACAAAGGGAAGATGAGATTGATTATAAATGATAGACATAAATGGAGAGATTTAAAGAATATTTCAAAAGTGGTGTTATCAATTATTGGGGGAGATTATTCAAAAGTGTTGTGCTTAAGTGAGATTACATATATAGGGGGAGATTGTTCAAAATATGTGAAAGATCAAGATAATTCAGATGATTGCTGAAAGAATCAAGTGTTCAAGAAAGTCAAGCTGTTTGAAGATTTCAAGTGTTTAAAAGTCGAAGTCAAAGCTTCTGGAAGA